GTCTCGAGACCAAGACCGGTCTCGAGAACTACAACACTAGTTGATGCTGCTGCTGCGCGTCTATCTCTATAAAATAAAATTTATTAACGTGAATTTAAAAAATCCTATTAGACCTAATTTGAATGACAAGATTTGCGCACGCCTCAAAGTCGTAGTGTGAGCGGTATCGGAGCGAGACAGAGCGACCGCTCCAGCCTTATTAAAAAACCACTCCGCGCTCTGACCAAATTTCGCCCGCTCCGCTCACATGCTCTGGTACTGGGTGTGATCCTTGCCTGCTGACTCATTGTTTATTTGCTCTCCAAGAGCTCCTGGGAGTTTTACTTACTCAAAAACGTTCTGAGGGCAGAACGAAAGTTGCTTGGTTCAGAGAAATAATCAATCAAATCGTAGAGGAGGCGGGTCTAAAGAAACAGAGGGGGCGGGACCAAGAAGCTGAACATTAGGCGGGAGTTTCAAAAAAATGTTTCAGCGGCAGTATTGGTGAAGCGATCCGGCGCACAAAAGAAGAATTTTGGGAGATTTTTCATTGCACTTATCCCAAAGGTAAGATTGTTTAACATTTATTTGGTTAACAGGATTTACTTTGATAAACTAGTCTGAGGCAATGAGCATGTTATTATTCTTTTGCTAAGAGCTGGTTAGCATTAGCTTAAAAAGCTAACGATGAAAATGCTGATAAAATGATGATTGCATGTGATGGATTACTTATATTTGCGTATTTTATAACCACTTATGCTGGCGCAAGTTACTTTTGAAACTCAGAGTAAGCTGTCTAAAAGGAGAATTTTGAGGTCAGGTTTGGTATTTTAACTGCCTATTTTTCTACATTAATATGATCTCTTATTAGTGGTGTAGGGTTCTGAAGGTCCCAGGGAAGGAAGACTGTGTTGCAAGCAGTAGTTAGTATTAGTAATGTAGGGAAATGCTGCTGCACTTCGGGCAGGAAAGCTGCGCTGTCAGTATTATTATTGCTAGTGCTTCGCATTAGAAATGCAATAATGCTGCTGCCCATGGGGCGGGAAAGCTGTGCTGTGAGCATTATTATTCCTACTGGTTAGGATTAGTAATGCAGTAATGCTGCTGCCCTTGGGGCGGGAAAGCTCTACTGTCAGCATTATTATTGCTAGTGGTTAGTATTAGTAATGCAGTAATGCTGCTGCCCTTGGGGCAGGAAAGCTCTACTGTCAGCATTATTATTGCTACTGGTTAGTATTAGTAATGCAGTAATGCTGCTGCCCTTGGGGCAGGAAAGCTCTACTGTCAGCATTATTATTGCTACTGGGTAGTATTAGTAATGCAGTAATGCTGCTGCCCTTGGGGCAGGAAAG